TCCCGCCTCCGTCCGCCGCGCGCGGGGCCGGGCGGCAGCCGGACCGCGCTCTTTGGTTCCGGGGGCCGCCTCGCCCCCACCGAGCTCAGTTTTTGGGGTGAATTCGGGCGGATTGGGAGCGCTCACGTTCGCCAGTGAGCGAGATAAAGGCTTCGAGACGGCGTTTCTTGATAGCGGCTCCTCGCTCAGATACATCCGCCGGTTTCCTTCCTCCGCTGTAATTTTAATGAGCTTTGCTAATGAGAAGCTCATCAGCGCCCTGTGCCAATGGCAGCCCCAGCCAAAATCCAGCGGGTCCGCTGGAAGAGCCGCAATAAACACCTTTTGTGCGAGCTGCACCCGCTCACGTTCAGCCCTCCACAATTACCGATGTGATCAGCCATGGGCTGTGATTACTGCACTCAACAGATAAAGGGAAAAGCCCCTTCCTTGTAAATGCAGCAGCATCTATCCAATATATCGAGTTTGTTTTCCAGGATGGCAAATGCAGACACCAAATCAGACAATAATTGGCTTCCTTAATTTGTTTAGTAGATGGAAGAATCTCATGCTTTCAGCCAGCTGGAAGGAAGGAGGGAAAAGCACTGGACCCTTCTGATCCATCAGTTCGTGGGGGATCTTGGTGCCAAATTAAGCCACAGGCCTCATCTGCTGCTGCCTCCAGGCTGGCAGGGTTATTTTATATTTTCACTTGTTCATGTAGCTAAAGCAAAGGGAGTTAAATGTACATCTTGTCCTGGGAAGTTTTGCCCTGCTGCAGGTGGCTCCCTGAGCTCTGTCTCTGCTTAATAAAGTTCACAAAACCTTTGAAAGGGAAGTTTCTGCTGCCAAGAAGCCTTGGGACGTGTCTCAGCCATCCTGGAGTGATCAGTGCTCCCTCTTTTGCTCCTGGTGGATTTTTCTGAGCCTGGCTTAGACAGACATCCAGTGATGAGAATTCCCTGCCATTCCCAACAGCTCACTGTGAATCACCTGGATCTCATTCCTGAGCAGATCCTTCCCAGCCCCTCAGCCACACAAAGCTCTTCCCCTCCCCGTGGCAGAGGACAGGAGGCCCCAAGAACAGCAGAGAAATGGTTTATTCTACCAATCTTCCCCATTTCCAGTGGGACCTGGGGTGCTGCTGTTGGCAGAGAGGCCAAGGAGCTTTGGGTTTTTCCCCCTGTGCACTTGGAATTATTGACAGAGCTCCTGCAGGGAATCAGAGTTGGAGTTTGTGTGTCTTAGAGTCCTCCAGCCCCAGCTGAGCCCTCAATTGGCTCAGCATCCCTTCCCGAGGTGAGAGCTGCTCCTTGCACCCAGCAGAGCCCAGGGGTGCAGCCTGGGAGGTCAGAACAGTGCTTTGGGCAATTTGGAGTGAGGAAATCCTCCCCCCACTACCCCAAGGCACAGAGATTCACAGTCTGTGGCACCTCCTCCTCCTCCAGGGGTTCTGTGAAGCCATCCCCAAAGCCCTCGGCCTCCACCAGCTCGGGTTTCCTGCGGCACATGGGGCAGAGCTGGTTTCGGATGGCCGAGGATCTCATCCACATGATGAGGTTCCAGCGCTGCCCGGAGGCGATGGGCAGGGCCCCGTGGATCTGCCCCCCTCGGTGCAGCAGCCCCCGGCCTCCAACGTGCTCCACCTCGATGTATTTGGGCACTGGGGTGGGATCCTGGAACAGAGGGATTCCGTGTCATGCCATGAAGTCCCTCAAATTGTTGAAATTTGTCACCTCTTTCCCCCACAGCACCCAGGGAGCAACAGCTGAAATGAAAGTTCAAAGCTCCCATAGAGTTGAAGCTGGATGGGAGCTTCTGCCCCTCTCTTGCCCTGAAAACAGGTGCTAGAGATTTAGGTTGAAGCCACATCTGAAATAAATCTCTCCCTCAGCACCTCCCTGCTCAGTTTCAGATGTGGAAAGAGGGGGTGCTTTGTTTCACTGCACTTTACTGCAAAGCTGCATCTGTCCTCTCTTTAAAATACTGAATATTGGTATTGGAATATTGCAGCTGAAGAGGATCCTGTATAACCAAGCCTTGCAAAAATGGGGAATGACAGAGCAGGTTTGACTGTCAGAGGTGAATAATGTTTTTTTTCAGAACAGAGTGGATGCTGGGGGGCTGAGGAGGGAGAGGCGAGTGGGACATGCTCAGTACCTGGTTGAAATCCCCGAAGTACAAATTTCCTTCTGTGAATTCTTTCCCCAGGGAAACGTTCAGGGTGACTTCAGCGTTGTCATAGTGCGAGCTGAGGTCCAGGTCCTCGTGCAGGGAGTACTTGACCACGAAAGCTTTGTGGCTGTCCAGGCAGGCCCCTCCCAGCTCCGGGTACAGCAGGGCCGTGATGGGCAGGAGCCGCTCCCGCAGCGGCGTCAGGAAAGGCTCGTCCATGCCCAGCTCGTTCAGCAAAACCTGCGCCGAGGAGAGCAGGGGGAAAGAGCTCAGCAGCCACAGCTGCTGCTCCTCAGAGCTGCTGTCCTCCTCCAGCCCTGCTGCTGGCTCAGATCACTTTGGAGCAAAGGCTTGGCTACAGGGAAAAGGAAGGAGGATCAAGGTGCACAGGGATGGGGGGAAACACGGAGTAATAGGATCAAAAGTTTCTTTAGAAACTGTGTCCTTGATTTAAATTTGTTTTGCTTAAGCACAAGGTGCTCTTTGCTCTGAGATACCAACTCCTTCCCCTGCATTCCCACTTTCTTTTGTCCCTGCAACATTCCCTCAACCCTGTCACTCCACGGGGGCACTGAACTCAAACTGCTCCGTGTAAAACGAGAGGCACTTTGGAACTGGAAGGAGTGAGGCATGAGGAGGTGAGCACAGGGAACACCACCCCTAAAGAAGGAGATGAGTCCTACCCCGTAGTTGTTCATGGTGTTGGGCCTGCCTTTGGGCATATCCGACTGCTCAAAGTTCTCCAGCTCATCCACAAAGGCTTGGCAGAACTCCTCTGTGAACACTGGGAGTCGGTAGATCCTCTTATCTGCCAGCAGAAGGGAGACAGAGTTTGCTGGGGAACTCCCAGTTTTCCTGGCTGCCTGTCCAGCTGCACTGTGCTGGTGTCAGTGAGGGCACAGCACCCACTTTGTGCTCAGACTGTTTAGAGGGCTGGCACCATTTCCTGGGCTCAGCTCTGGGGTGTATTTGGTGTTTTTCATGCTGGTCCCTCATTTCCAGAGCAGAAGGCTGTGTCTGGAACCAGTGCCCTGGATAAATCCAGGAGCTCTGCACACAGACATTGGTGTCTTTGCCTTGAGGAAAGGAGGCAACTCTGCCTCTTTCCCTCTGCATCTTGGCAGCATTTCAGGTAAGCAGAGAGCTTCACAGCAGCCTCCAGGGAAGCTGAAAACCCAGCTCTCTTTTTCAAAGGCTGAAATCTAGTCTGAAGCTATTTCAGCCCAGACTAACCAACAGGGGCTGTCTGCAATGGCAAAGCACTCAGGGAAGGAAAACCAAGCTCCTTCAGCAGGCTCCCTGGTGAGCTGTGGTACAACCAAAACCCCAGCCCTGGAGCCTCTGGTGAGACATCAGTAGGCTGGGATGGGAAAGCAGAAAACAGCCTCTGATCTCAGAGCAGAACTGCTGCCTCTCCAGAGACCCTCCTCAGGCAGAGAATAACATCCTGTGTGCCTCAGCTTGTGTCAGAGCAGAGCTGTTCCAGACAGGGCTTGGGAACAGCTGTCACCAGGGGGACCTGTGGGACTGAGGTGTTGTTTTCTTTACCTGAGAAGGACTCGAGGTAGCTCAGGAGGCCCTGGAGATCAGCACCTGGAGATGTGCAGAACCTCACGATTTCCAGAAACTCTGGGGCCAGGAAGGAATCCTGGATTCCAGGGGAAGGATGGGAAGAACACACAGAAACACAATCAGCCTGCACAGCCCGAGAGGGAAATGGACTCCCAGGGAAATACACAGTCCCTAGGGAGCAAGGCTGAGTCACACCCGAGTTAATTCCACGGCAGGAAATGCAGAATGTCACTGGTGTTTTACCAGTGGGGTAGGGAAGTTCCTGCTTGCTTTAGTGCGTGGTTTTCTAGGAGTAACTGGCCAGATTTATCCAAGGCATGACAGGAAAGAGCCTTTTCTGGCTGGAACACCAGGAATCTTGCCCGGAGAACACGCTGTGCTGTCGTGTTTTTAAAGTTTTAAATCCAGTTTTCATATGCTACCCCTGTGTTTTAATTCAGTGCAGCTTTAGCACTGTGCAGTCCCGAGGAGAGGGGGAAATAAACTTCAAAAATAAAATTACCAGGTAATTTTTTTGGGGGGTGCAAAAGAGATTCCAAACCTTCTGTGTACCTGCAGGGTGTACACCTCTGGGTGTTTTGGTTTGTAGCACTTGGAGATGATGGCTCTGCGTTCCACTGACTGATGGATTAACTCTTTTCTTCTCCGCACTTCTGCCTCAATCTGTGAGTAAACAACAGAACACTGTCAGAAATCAACAGGGCTGAGTAAAACAGCTCTGGGAATCTGCTCATTGCTTTAAACCGATTATTTTTGTTTGGGGGCACCTCTGGGGGACAGAGTGTTTGCTTTGTTTTTCTGTGGTCAAGAAAAGTCCAGTAAATATCTGGAAAGCCAAATGTCTGAGAGGAGTTTATGTTCTCTTTACAGATGGCTTAAAAAGTAACTGAGGACTTTGCTGTGGAAGTGTCAAGTGGAGCTGTGAGGTTTCAGCCCTTTCAGGCATTCTGACACCTCCTGAATCTGACAATAGAGGCATTGTCCAAAATACAGACATTTGCTGGGAGCAAGACAAGTCCTGTCATGAAGGGATTAGTGCTAAGTGTGGTAGAGACAGGCTAAGCTGCCCTTTCAGAGCAATCAGCTGATCCAGGCAGCTCTTCCCTGTTTAATTCCCCCTCACAAGATTAATTTGTAACAGTCCTTGCTGAGGAGTGAGTGAGCAGCCCTTCCTGGGACCAAGCAGCTCCTGTGTTCATTCCCTTGTCCTCAGTATCAGGTCCTGAAGGTCTTGGGAACCAAGCAGACAAATCAGATTTCTCAGCTTCCTTCTTCTTCCCCTCCCTCCCACCCCCAAGGTCCCTGGGCACTGGGTCACAGGGCAGGGATCTGTAACCCAGCACTGCCCAGAAAATCAGGATCGAGTTCTAAGTGGGAAACTGGGGCTGGAATTGCTGCTGGACAGGGAGAGCTGTGACCTCCCACAGCCAGGGACAGCCACTGTCATCTGCCTCCTCCCAGCACTGAGTGACTCCCATTTGTTTATGTAATTTCTAGGTCTCCTTTATAATGTTTATGTTGATACAGCAAACCTTGTATGAAGATGTGAGCAGATCTGCAGAGAGCCCGGATGATTAGAAAGTGGTTTGGATCTAAGGTGATTATAAATTAAAACCAAGATTGGGATCTTGAAATCCTAAGTGAGGCTGTTTTATAAATTACATTGCTTGTTGTGCTCCATTGATTCTGCCTGGGAAAATCCTGGGCTGTCCTACTCATAAATTCTGTGCTGTATGAATCATAATATCCAGTTAATAAAGCTTTAATTAACAGTATGATTTACTGCCACCATCATTCTGCCAAGAATTCCTAAAATGTCTGTCCCCTTAGCAACATTTGAGCTGGTGAGTGACAGATCCCTGTCCCTAGCCTGGAAAAAAAGCAGAGATTCTGTGATGAAGGGTGAATTTCTGTAGGACCCCATCTCAGACTGCCTTTAAAAATGTTTGGGAGAAGAAGGGATAAGGAAATACAAACGAGGGCACCCAGCGGAGTAAATCCAAGGAGGGAGCGGCTCAGAGGCCGCTGGGATGTGTTGAATGACAGCATTTAATTGCAGGGTGTTGGCTGAATAAACACCTCGCCGATGGGCGCCCGCGGGGAATTCTTCCCTCTGGATTCTGCCCGGCACCGGGGTGGATCGGGACGCGGTGCCGGGAGCTGCTCCCCGGGTCCGGGGGGCTCCAGCAGGCCCCAAACTCCCTTCGGGACTGACCCCTGGTGAGGGGATCCCTGAGGGGAACCAGGGCTGCCCAGAGAGCTGGGCTTGTTCACCTGGAGAGGAGAAGCTTTGGGGTGACCTCACTGTAGCCTCGCAAGGCCTGAAGGGACCAACAAAAACGATGGAGAGAGACAATTTCCAAGGGATGGAGTACCAGGACACAAAGAATGGCTTCACACTGACAGAGGGCAGGGTTAGAAGGGATTTAGGGAAAAAAATCCTCCCCGTGAGGGGGATAATGCCCTGGCACAGAGAGGCCGTGGCTGCCCCTGGATCCCTGGCAGTGCCCAAGGCCGGGCTGGAGGGGCTGGGAGCAGCCTGGGACAGGGGAATGTCCCTGCCCAGGGCAGGGGTGGCACTGAATGAGTTTTAAGGTCCAACAGAACCCATCCCGCGGCTCTGTGAGTGCCCGGTGGCCGTGAGGGGCTCCCGCTGCTCACCTCCCTCAGCACCTCCCGGAACTGCTCCTCGCTCCGGCAGCCGCGCTCCCTCAGCGCCTGCAACACACGGGCCCGTCACCGCCGCGGCCGCCGGCACGG